CCATGTTTAATTGAAAATTTTTATGTTTTCAATTCATTGATTTATCACTAAGGAGTTACACCCTTTATATAGGGAGTATATGATCTCCTAAATCCCCTAATTATGTTAATTGCGGATTACACAATATTTTCTCTGACATAATTAGGAGATTACATAATTTTTAGAATATTCTAAGATTGTATACATGACATAACTAAAAGATTACATAATATTTACCTAATTAGAAAAGATTTATAATATTATGAAAATCTTAACATTTATTATTTGACTAGGACAATCATAATATAGGACATAATGGTGGAAAAGCAACCCGTCCGACCCAACTCGACCCGGCCTGCGGCGAGTTGGTAGTTTTGGCGGGCTGGGTTAGGCCCGCCACTTTGTTGGAATTGGCTGGCCCAGCCCAACCCGCCAACCCTAACCCGGCAGGTTATGCTACAGGCCGGGCCGGGTTAACCCTATTTTTTTAATTTTATTTTTTCTTTTATTTTGTTTTGTTTTGTGTAATTGTTTTTAGGTAACTTCTCAAATATCAATAATTCAATTAAATTAATTTTTTTTTTTTTTTTTTGTTAACAACTTAACATTTCAAATATTAATTCAATTTTAATACAATAAAATTGTAATATAAGAAAAATTAGATTTATTCATTTATCAAGTTACAATTTCCAAAACAACTAATTTGGGGGTTGACTAGGACCTCCCTCATCCGTATCATCTATATTACAAAGTTGAAATTATTCTATCAAAGTATCATCGACAACCTTGTATTGATCTTGATGGCGCGACCGTTCCCAATCTCGAAGACATGTGAGGACTTCAATTATTTTTTGTGAAAGTTTAGTCCTCATTTCATTTAAAATTCTTCCACTTGCACTACTAAATGTTTGTTCGGATGAGACAGTTGGGACAGAAACAGCAAAAACATCCAAGGCAAGTCTTGATAATACCGAAAAAATACATTTTCTGGTTTTCCAATATTCTAAGACATCAAAGTTGGCTATTTGTTGTGGATCTGCTGGTAACATTTCGGGGGTTCCCAAATATTGTTGAAGCTCATTACTCTGTGATTGCATGGAAGACAGTATATTCGTTGATGTTGTTGGTGCTTCTGAAGAGGAGGCTGTGCTTCGGGTTCGGGTTTGGGTCCTCTTCGGCCTATTAAATGCACTCTAGGTGTAGAAGCTTTCACTTGTTTCTTCTGATGCAACTTCCCTAGGTATTTCACGTCTTTGCGGGTTCCCATACCTGTTTTCATATTGGAAATATACCTCTGCAAGACAATCTCTTACCTCTCCTAGTTGATTGGCATATGCTTCGTTTTGTAAATTTTCAGATAATGTGTCTAAACCATTTTCTAAACTTGCTACTTTAATTCTAGGATCAAATATAGCACCTAAACAATAAAGAAAAGGAATGGGTTTCCAATATTTTAAAAAAAAAAATTCCATTGCCTTTATTTGTTCCTTTAAAATTTCATTGTTTTTGTTTTTTGTAAATAACTCTGAAATTTTTATAATTGTATGTATTACCAATGGACTAGTAGGAAAATACACACCAGAAAGTTGTAAAGTGGATTGGTAAAAAATTTTATAAAAAAAATGAAATATTTTAGCTATATGCCAATCATTTTGTACCAAATAATGAGGACCTCTATTATTTGCTACAAAATAACTAATTAAATTTGCATAAGGTAAACATGAATCAAGCATTAAATAAGTACTATTCTATCTAACAGGCATGTCTAATGCAAAAGTTCTAGGAGACATATTTGATTTTATACAAGCATCTTGAAATTCAACATTTCTTTTATTACTACCAGTAATCTAAGCTAAACAATCCCTAATTCTATCAATATTTTCTTTAATTGTTTTCATACCACTTTTTACAATTAAATTAATAATGTGACATGCACAACGTTTGTGAAAAAACTTCAAATTGTTATAAAAAGGATAATTTCCATGTTGAGCAATATGTTTATATTAGCATGCATTTTTAAAGTACTAGTACCATTACCCGAATCAGCTTTATAAATATTTCCACAATATTTGCATCTTGCTTTCTTGACTTGAACTCCATTTTCTGTCTCGTAAAACTTGTCGAAATGCACCCAAACGTCTGATGTGTGTCTATTCTCAGTTTCGACAACAGTTGATGAACCCACTTCACCTTGAGATAAAGTTGGACGAGGAAGACGATTACGAGGACGACTTCTAGAACCACCGGGAGCTGTAGGTATAGTAGCATGGGGAGGAATCGGGGGCATAATTTGAGGTGTATCAGATTCTGAGACTGGGAAAGCGGGACTATTTGAATATCCTGCATTTATGTTAGTAAATGCAGCGGGACTAGGACTAGGATAGTAGTTTCCTTCATCATTGAAATTGATGGGAGAGAAATATCTATCCATTGCAGTTAAAAAAAAAAAAAAAAAATTGATGTAGAAAAAATAAAAAATTAAAGAAGGAGAATTGGAATATGGAAATATGAATTGAAAATTGCAAAAACTAATAAAAATTAAAATAAGAGCAAATTGATAACAAAGATAATAATTGAGAGATTAGAGAACATGAGAGAATGAGAGAATTTGAGATGTGAGAAAATATGAGTTTAGGCCAATTTATATAAAAAAATGGGAAAAAAGAAAATAACAAAACAGACCCCTCCAAGTACTACAAAACAGCTATATTTCAAAGGTAAAAGGGGTATTCGAAAAAAAAAAATTCAATTTTTTTTTATTATTTTTCAACCAACCCACTGGGTTGACAAGCCGTCTCCAAAAAAGCCAAAATAGCAACCCGCAGGTCGTTGGGTTGTCATATATCAACCCGGCCCGTTCGGGGGTTGCATGCGGGTTGGGTTCAACCCAACCCGCCTTATTGGCGGTCTGAGTTGAACCCTCTTTAATGCGGACCGGGTTAGGGTTCATTTGTTCCATCTCTAATGGGACAAAGATTTGGGTAGTAGCAATGTAGTAATCAATTTACGTCAGTTTTTTTTGGCAGATATACATGGAAACATTATTTCCATTATATTAATTTGCCATTGAAATACAATAAACTTCTTTTTTCATAACGATTTTTTTTTTCTTTATTAATTATCCCCATTGAATAATGATAATAATAATTTATTTATTTATTTTACATTTCTAACAAAATTTTAATGAAAATATGCTCGAAAAATAAAGTTGCGAAAGCAAAATAATGAAAATGCTTTTTGTATGCCTACTACTTGAAAAATACAGTAATGCAAGATATGAAAGAAGACCTGAGATATGAACATAATAAATTACATACATGTATTTATTATTTGACTAGGACAATCATAATATAAGACAAAGACTTGGGTAGTAGCTTGTAGTAATCAATTTACGTCAGTTTTTTTTTTTTTTGGTAGATATACATGGAAACATTATTTCCATTATATTAATTTGCCATTGAAATACAATAAACTTCTCTTTTTCATAACGATTTTTTTTAATTTCTTTATTAATTATCCCCATTGAATAATAATAATTTATTTATTTATTTATTTTACATTTCTAACAAAATTTTAATGAAAATATATTCGAAAAATAAAGTTGCGAAAGCAAAATAATGAAAATGCTTTTTGTATGCCTATTTTGTGTATGAATTAAAGAAAATTTTTATAAATTCTTAAATCCTTTTTTGAAACATTGAATATCGTGTTAATTAAAATTATTTTTTAGTCTAAGTGTCTAACACTTTTTTTTTTTTGAAAAAAAAAAAGTGATCTTTTTGTTACTTCAGTACTACACTTAATTTAGATTTCATTGTTTTCACATTTATTTATATCAATATCAATTAATTTTGGACTGTTTTTATTTGTAATATTAGCTTTTAATTTATTTTTATTCATAATATTTAAATTTACTCTCACTTGATTATTATAATTATAATATTAAAAGTCCATAAAAATCAATAATAATATTAAAATTAATTGATAAGTTTTTTAATTTTTTATTCATCAGTGGAAAAGTACAAGAATACACTTTTCGGTAAAACTAGTGTATTAATTATATATTATGACATAAATAATCGAAAACTTACCTAAATTAGTGGTAAACATTAGTACATAGGGATGAATGGGTTGTTGTCAATGTATACTGATTGAAAGAACTTGCCAGCAACGTGGAAGTCTGTGTACCACTAAAAAAAAACAAAATTAAAATTAAAAAAAAAAAAGGAAATGCTAAATCCTGACCTAAATCACTAGTGAAAAATTATGAATCCCATGACGTCTTTTAAATAACGATAAAATATTTTGTCCTTTCTCAAAAGTTAAATTAATATCAATGTTTTAAAAATGGACCCGGTTGTGACTCGCTAAAGCTGATATGATGTCATATTCTTATCAAACTTTTTGTCCTTTCTCAAACATTAAATTAATAGGCAAATCTTAATAACCCTTTTCATTTTCTTGGACAATCCTGCTACCCTTATAAGAAATAGTAACAAATTAAATCCATCATGGTTACTTTATGATCGGTTTTTAGTATTAATAAATTGACTAATTTCAGCTCTTTAATGCGATTGTAAAATTCAATAATATGAGTCAACATATTTGATAAAACAAAAATAATGTTATCTTAAAATAGAACTGTTCAAAGAGTATGTTTTAATCATATTTTCTAATAAAAAAAAGGTTTAATTAAATCGTTTTGAAAGCATTTCCTCCTAATTTTGTCGCAAGCATATAGTGATGGATTAAATAAGGTCAATAATAGAAGTTAGAGGGGTGGTTTAATTTAATATTTGATTATTATCTTTTTTGTATTCCATTTGCAAATTATTATCAATTTGTGTTAACTCATAACCTAACTAATTTAATATGAGATTGGAACAACAAGTATTGTATTAACTAATCCTTCTCCGTTGAATATTTGCCTATTTGCCATCTATTACTAAAAGATCCCTTGACTCTCTATATATATTACATTGGCAGGAGGGTTTACTACACTAAACACTCAATCCATCGTCATGGCCAATGGTAACTTAAATCCACTTTCTGTTCCTATCCCCATCTTTACTGGACGAAAATATGATACTTGGAGGATTAAGATGGAGACATATTTTTTGTCCCAAGACTTATGGGACATTGTTAATGAGGGAATCTCTACTCCAGACAACACCTCCACTCTATCTGAGCAACAACAGAAGCAGTTGAAAGAAAGTAGTCAGAAAAATGCAGCAGCACTTTACATCCTTCAACAAGCGGTGGAGGATGACATTTTTTCAAAAATTTATGAAATTAAGACGGCGAAAGAAGCATGGACAGCGTTAAAAAAAGAGTTCCAAGGAAATACACAGGTATGTGCTGCCAAACTACAATATCTCTTCTTCGTTACAGTTTATCGCCTCTTCTTCATTACAATTAATTGCCTCTTCTTCACCACAGCCTACCGCATTATCAGACGAGGATAAGAGTAAGTAGTACGAAATTTGAATAAATTTTCAGAAGTAAATGAATAATCCAACCAACCAAATTAAAACAAGTATGAAAATCTTATGTTTGCTTTTATTGCAGAGCAATGCGAGAAATACTTGCCGCTATATAAAGCTATACTCGAAGGCAGCCTGGAAACTGTACAACTGATCTGTCATGATAATAAAGAGGCACTAAAAGCCAGGATCACCGTAAACTGGGACACAGCTCTTCATGTAGCTGTTGGGATTGGGACATGCAAGGAAAATGATATTGTCAAGTATCCATTGGATGAGATGTCAATTGACGATCTGGCACAGCAAAATAAAGAGGGCAACACGATTCTTTCCATTGCTGCAATTGTTGGAAATGTCCGAGCAGCCTCCATGATATTGATGAAAAATAAATATAAAACTTTAATTCAAGCTTCAAACAATTCTAAAAGAATACCTTTGATTGAGGCAGCTCGACATGATCAAAAGAAGATGATTGAATTTTTATTGCCTTTCAGCAACAGCTACTTCGATTATGCAGACTTAACAGGTTTTGGTGATGACTCTGGCTTTTCTTTCCTAAATTCGCTTATAATTGCTGGATTTTATGGTAAGTTATTCTTTCATTTGCTACTAAGTATTACTACGGAGTACCGACTAGATTTGAATGAGATAACTTCCAAGTTTTTACAACATTGATGCATATTTTCAGCCATTTTTTCTTGCCTATCATTATTTCTCAGGCTTGGCACTAAAATTGCTTCACATACATGGAAATTTAACTACAAAGCAGTTACCTACTGGTGAGTCTCTTTTGAGTACCATAGCAGGAAAGCCGTCTGCATTTCGGAGTGGACAACAAACAAAGCGAAAGTTTTTGCAATTCTTCAAAGATTGTATATTTGATAAGCGTGAGTATATATTTATAAATACCAATCTTCTGTATTTCGGTTATTTTTGTTTTTGTTATTTGTTATTATGGACAATTCGTGTAAATCATGTGATTTTATAACTAAATCTATATGTTAAATAAAACCATGATATTTTAAAAATTAAAATTAGTATAAATAGTATAAAAGACGTGTCTCTTTCTTGAAACACAAAAAATCATGTTAATTAAATTTATGTTTAAGTTTATATGTCTCAAACCTTTTTGAGAAACATGAATACAACACTTAATATAGTTTTCAATGTTTTTTAAATTTAAAATATGAAAACTACTTTATAAGCTTTTCAAGATTATGTAATACTAGCTAGTAGAAAATAAAAACATAAAATTGCCGTAATATTTTTTTCTAATAAATAACAAGATTTCAAGATGTGTCAAAGTTTTATTTATTTGTATAAATATCAATTAATATGTGACATGGATTATTTTTATTTGTAACATTATATTTAATTGATCTTAATTTATAATATTTAAGTTTACCCTCGATTATTATTCTAATCTTAGAAAATTATAAGAATCAATAATAATATTTAAAATGCCAAAGTTTTATAAATTCTTCAACCATGAGTACATATTTCATATAGTTACTAATCTTCTATAATCCAATAACTCATGAATATCCATGTTATTTGTTCTGTAAATTATGTCGGTTTGTTTTTTTCAATTTCCCTTAGTTCATCATAATATTAATAAACAATATTCTGCGGATGAATATTTTTATATAATTATATGCTTTTTTAATGACTTACTTTATGTAAATTGATTTAAGAATTACATAATCTGTACTTTTTTTTCTTTTTAGAAAACGTGGATTTTATGTCAATTTAATAGATCGGTTAATGCCTCTTACTTTAGGTTTTATTTAAATTAATTAGGAGAATATGACAGTTTTACTCATTTTTAAATAATTCAGGTTAATGAATCATTTTTTGTGATTGGTTGAGTTATAAGTGAATTCATATTTTTTAACACTCTAAACTGTTTTCTTATAATTAACTTACGATATTTTACTTGACTATATAAAAGACGAGAGACAGACCAAGCACTCCAACTTGTCAAACACTTGTGCATGGAAATTGCAAAGAGTTCAGATCATTGCTCAATACTGAAAGGACCCTTCCTTCTAGCGGCAGAATTGGGGGTTTGCGAAGTTGTGGAAGAGATTATAGAATCATATCCTGATGCAATTTGGTTTACAAATGAAAGTAATCACAATATACTCCATTTGGCAGTTATGAATCGTCAAAAGAAGGTATTACGCCTCATATCTGGTAGAAGTGGTTATAAACATATGTTATTACAATCTCAAGACATTGACAAGAACAATGTCTTGCACTTTGCTGGAAAACCCAAAAGTAAAGCAAATCAGCTTTCTAGTGCAGCTCTGAATATGCAGCAAGAGTTACAGTGGTTTAAGGTAAGACTATTGATGTAAACATTACATGGATGCTAAATATTTAGTAATCTTCTATTATGAATTGCTTTTCCGTACCTAAGAATATAAATTTAATTTAAAAATATGAGTTTTATTTACTTTATTTTTATTCGCCTATTAAATTTGAGCTGATATAACATGGTATAAGACGGTTTTAGAAGTCTGCTCTGAATCTCTGACTATAAGTTCACTCTTCCAATATATTGATGTGGTTATAAAATTTATCTAAATGCAGAAAGTAGAGAAAATGGTGCCGCCTGACTATCGAAAGGAAAAAAATTCGGAAGGAAAAACTCCAAGAATGGTATTTATTGAGGAACATAAAGAACTCATTAAAGAAGGTGAGGAACGGATAAAAGGTGTAGCATCTTCATGCTCACTAGTAGCATCTTCATGCTCACTAGTAGCATCATTCATTACCACAATAGTATTTGCAGCAGCAATCACTATACCAGGTGATTACAACGATGATGGCCACCCAAATTTGTACGAACATACAGCCTTCACAATCTTTAGTATTTTTAATTCATTCTGTTTTTTCACAACAATTGGTGCCATCATAATGTTCGTATCCATCCGCACTTCACGCTATGGAGAAGAAGATTTTCTTTTTGCCCTGCCCAAGCAGTTAACGTGGTGTTATGTTATCCATCCGCACCACTCTTTATCTGGTGTTTCGTGAAAGAAACTCAAACTGGGTACTTTCTTTAGTGGTTGGATTACCTATAGTGCCTCTCTCCTTGTCTGTGTCTGCGAAATATTCCCTCTTATGCGAGTTGATTTTTTCAACAATTTTCCTCAGCATTTCCCGCGAGCTAAGAAAACTGTATGAGGTAGCAAAAAAAATTATTTTGAGATAAGTCTGTTGCTGTACTGATACTCCTCCCGAAAATGATGTTTGAGCAGCTTCCTTCCCCTGCTACCTCCAAAGTGGATTTGCATCATTATTTGTTTTGTATTGTGATTATTGTCTATTGTTTGTGAGCAGTTTGACAATTATTTATGTCTATTGTTTCTGAATGTAATGTCGAATAATGAGTCGTGGCAAAACTTACTAAGTGCTTGATAAATTTTATTTCTAAATTTTTTAATCGTTTTCAAAATTTATGTATGCTTCCTAAAATGGACATAATTTTGCTTTAAAAATTATTTTTCTAAACTTAAAATTATATTACAAAAATTCATGATATATTAATATTACTAAATGTTAATATAATTAATTACCGTCGATGGTATATGGCCGATAGGATAAGACCAAAATGTCAATTATTTATTTTTGAAAATTTGAAATTTAACAAACTATTATTGGTTAATCATTATTATAAGGTTCTTTTTTTGGTTTTAGTATTTTTCTAGGGCTTTTTTGTATTTTTAAAATTCATAATCAGTTTTTTATACAAAAAAAAGAAATTATATCTAATACAAAAAAATATAGCGTGAAAGAATTAAATTATAATATAAAACAATCACTTTGTGATTCTAAATTATTGGAGAATCAAACTTAGATACTCAAAAAAGGGACAATTATCAAAAACTACCCCTAATTTTCAGCCATCAGCAAACAAAATAACACTATATACCAAATCATCAAAAACTAACCCTGGCCCTGACTTCCATCCATTACAGTTAGAGGGATAAATTCATTTTGTCCCTAAGATTTTGGTTAATTTAATGAAGCTTTTATCCATAGATTACAGTTATTGTTCTCTATTGATGTTAATTAGGCAAACTTCTATACGAACCTCATAAAATTGTTTGTGGAGTTTTTTGATATTATTGTAACCTTTTGGTATAATCACTTGCGGTTGTGATGTGGAAATAATAAGCTGTGACTTCAGAATTTGTATATATATCTGCTTGTATCAGTGTATGTGTGTTTTTAAAGTGCTTTGTACGCGTAGTTGTTAAAATAGACATAATATTTGTTTTAAAAAATTATTTTTACAAACTTCAACTTATACGTAACTTAAATTAATTCATAACATATTAATATTAGTAAATGTAAAAAAATATTAAAATACAATAACCCTATATAAAATTTCAGGAACAAGTAAAATAATGAAAAAAAACAAAGTATTGTTGCAATTAATGGGTCATAACCGCATAGATAATTATGATAACTCCATGTTGATGAAGTTCCCGGAAAAGTTATAAACTTACTACTGATGAGCTTAAATGTGGATGCTTATTTCATGCGTTTGTTACTTAATTTATTTGCCGTTTAGGTCTTAATTTCAATGGATTATTCTCACTTTTTCTTTTTTTGTTTTGTGATTTTATTAGATTTTGAATAAAACAAGAAGATTTGAGTATGAATCGCGAGTGTTGGAACATGCTTCAGTATTTTTATGATAATTTTAGTTGTAAACCTCAAATTTGGACGATTCTTAAAGCATTGCAAAGTTTACTTGAAGGGTTCTAATTCATATATGTTCACGACTTTGCCATATTCGGGAGTTATCATGCTCCATTTTGGACATCTTTGCGTGCCACAACATTAAAAATGTTCAGCCGTGGTAGAGCACTCGGGTTTTTTTTTTTTTTTCTTCTTCCCTAGTTTAAGGGCGCACTGCAGCATTCAAAATCTCATGCTCCCCACGTGGAAAAAAGAAAAGAAAAACGAACCTAGGGCCTTTGCTGGGTTTTATTGTTCCAGAATTGGCCCTATAAGCCTTGCACTATATATTAATGAGTTTTTAACTTTTTAGGGACGTGGAAGTAGAGAGAAAGAAAGGAGACTAGCTAAAATTTTGAAGATAAAAGGATCTGCTCTTTGGAGCTTCGGATCATCAATGGAGAAGTTTTCTTTTATTCCTCTCTAGAACTCATGTCTTTCAATTTTTCAATTGTTGTTTCTTTTCATTTAATTATGAATTAAATTAATTTTCTAGGGTTACGATGTAGCTCAATTTATCTTTATGTTTTGATGGATTAATGTTGAATTTTGTTAAGTAATTATTTTCAAAGTTTTTATTATTATTCTTATTCCCTTTAATTATTTTGGTATCGAGAGTTGACTGATCTAATGAATTAGGTTGAGATCGAAAGATGAAATCTAGTTAGTCTAACTAATAAACACCATTTGTTGAGTGAATAGTAGATACACTAGATATGACTTGTGATACTTGTATTAATTTCCAAAAGGTTTATTGATCCCTTAAGAACTAAATTCAATTTAGAGATATCTTGAGTTAGCAATAGATGATTAATATGATAATTGTTCGAGAGAAAATATTAGAATTTCCGAGAATTTGGTCTTAGTAAAGCCTTAACAATGATAGTATGATTTGTTAAGACACAAGAGTAAATTGTTGTGAAGTCTATGGCTTAGGTTTTGGCATATTGTTTTACAATCAGCTTCCTTTCTTATTTGTGATTCGTTTTCTTTATTTTATTATTATTATTATTATTATTATTATTTTGTTTAAAAATAGTTATTTTTAGTTTTCTCATTCAATCAATTCTCAACTAATCAAATAGGAATAGGAATAATCAAATTTGGTAATTGGTAAGTAGTGATTCTCTAGGGTTCAATATCCTTATTTCCATACTATATTACTTTAACGAGTTCGTACACTTGTGAAAAGTCCTGTCAATTACATCTAAAATTTAGCTAAGAATTGGTTGGATTTGTTTTATTACAAAATAAATTATCCTATCGATTAATTATTGTGGAGTAATATTGTACTTACAAATTACAAAGAAATCTTACAAGAATCTCCATACAAAGTGATGTGACAAAAAATGAATGAAAGAATGAATATAATGAGTTTGACTTTTTATTTCACTTTTTTATTTATTTTTTGTCACCTCACTTTATATGAAAATTATTATAAGATTTCTTTGTAAATATAATATTATTGATTATTATGTTATATATATATATATATATATATATCCGTTTGTGATACCCCTCGTCTCTTACAAAAAATTTTTGATGGTTTCAAAATTTTTGGAGACGAAACAAAATGTAAGTATAATTTAAGCGTGAGCTAAAATACAAACAACCAGGGCCCATCAAATCAGCTCGTCCGAGTTATTTGAAACTCATGATTTGGGCCAATACCAATGGTAAACCATAGGCTGGAGCGTTGAAAAAGGCCTAAGCTTGCGCATGGATCACAAAGCTCAAAAGGGTTCACTGTACTTATCATTGTTATCAATATTCAATTATTCATGGACCTAAACCACAACAGAAAGTACAGTTGATAAACTTAGCTTGGCCGATAGAGCAGCAACCTCTACTGAAGAGAGGTGATTATACCCTACAATTTTATGGACTAAAAGGAGCAATGAGCAAGTTAAGTTCCACTTCCTTCTTATCAATTCTTCTACTTCTTTGTCTACACCACAATTTTATGGACTAAAGAAAGTTATGAGCCAAGGCTTAACTCATTTCTATCCGATGTGAAATTGTCATTTAAGGATTAGCTAATGTCTTTGAAATAATATAATTTGTAATTGATGAATACTGTATAGAATTTTCATTTCTTTTCTTTCTGATTAGTAAGGTAGTTGTATACGAGTCATAAATAAAAGATTGTTCCAATCATCTTGAGCTTCTATGCAGGATTTGTAATTAAAGTAGTTATGTATATCACATTGTTTGACAAAAAGTACTAGAAAAAGCTATCTACACTCAGCTATATTTTATTTCAAGATTATTCAGAATCATCAATCAAGGAATTACAAAAAATAAAAATTATTCAAATCATTCAAGCACTGTTCTTCTTCCTCGCCTTGTAAATCAATCTTCAGATTAAGCTCCGGACAATTGTATATCACCATCTTCTCCAATCTCTTCAGATGTTTGATACCAAGATGCAACGAGATTAAGCTGTAACAACCGTGTAGAATCAATGTCTTGAGGCTGCTGAAACTCTGCATTTTGTCAGGCAAAGTTACCAGATGGTGGCAGTCGCTTTAGTGCAAATGTCTAAGAGAGCTCAAACATTCAATTCCCTTTTTTGGTAAACGCCTCTCTTTTGTAGTGATTTCCAAATATTTGAGGCTAGTCATTATAGACACTAAAATCTACGATTGATTCGGAAGGGATGAATCTTATAAGAAGCGAGTCATTGACAATCGTATGGATTTGCACAAAGAGAAAGAATGAACGTGAAGGCTTTGGGAACACTGGTATGTTGTTTGCCTTAGGCACTCTGACGCTCAAGTCAACACGATTGAAAGCCAAGTCATCATGATTGAAGACAAGTTTAGTTAGGTGTTGAGAGGGGGTGAGGGCTGAGAAGGGGAAAGGGTTTACCATAATATGGCTAGGGCAAGACTAATACAAAATGGCTGAAGCACAACTTTGCGAAGGCGAAGGGTGGTATAGTTAGTTGGAACTAAGCTTTACAGTGAGGAAAGACAACGATTTTTTTAGAGCAAGAATTTAGGAGCTAAAGCTTTAGCTATTTGTACATGCATAATGAGAGGTTTGACCTATGTTTATATAGGAGCTCAAGAGAGCTTGAGTCCTAGTAGAGCTTTGAGTTCTATTTGGCATGCGAGTTCGAATTAGGAAGGAACTTGTTTATTGCCTTTATCAGTTCAAGAGTACTAATTCATGTAACATACTAGATCTTGAATGAATTAAGAAGGTAACAGGATTCTGATTCCTATTTTGGGACGAAAATGAGCTATTGGACTAGAACCCGATTTAGCTTAACTTATAAGATAGCCCAACTGATAGAGTAATTAGTTCACATAGTAGATTTAAGTGTAGGCCCAACTAGAATTAGGTTAAGGCAGTGAGCTGTAATATGTTTATTTCGTTATTAAACCTCATCAGGCTTAATACAATTTTTGGCTCGTACAGTCATGTTCTACTCGTATTGGTAGGTAACTTCTTCAAGCTTGAACATCCACGAAGTCTCAAAGTTTGCAACATATATAGAGCTTAGAAATTGACTCTGGAAGCTCCTCTATAATGGAGTTTGAAGATAAGACATCTCAAATATTTCAATGAAGAGGCCGAGTCTGGCAGCTACTCGAATCGAAGACCATTTAATCATAATGGCTGGAGGTATTTAGAATTTGATATGCAATTACTAACGAAGGATTGAGTAACATTCTTGGACTGTAGACTTGGAAAAAAATGGTCCGAGTAGCTCGTAGGTTCTTTATGAGTTCTGCAACTTTCTCAGAATGTTGAGTGTCAATAAATGAGAATGGTCGAACAATTTGGGCAATATTGCAAGATCCTGTACAAGGTCATTCTTTTTAAAAATGAAGCAATAAATCGTGATCTTCAATATCTTGAAAGAAACACCTTGAAGTAATTCCTTCAGATATCGCAATCCAACATCTTCCAACTCTTCGTTTTTGTTAGGGGATGCAAGAAAACCAAACTCCATCCAATAATGGACTAGGTAATTACTGTTAAATAATGAACAATACGCAAAACGTCGTTGCAAGTGACTTGGCAAATGATCGTAACTTAATTTCAACATGGCAGGATGTAACCTGTCCCCTGTTCTAGTAGCCTCAATTTGTCAGAATCTTTTATCAACATCCAGTCATGCTTACATATATTTTGATAAAGTACGCTCCCTAAAGTTCTCACTACCCCTTCTTTAAAAGCCGATTTCACAAACAACGGCCTAAAATCCTCAGGAGAAAGACCTTTCAAGACATATGCAGGAACAGTGCCTATTATTGAGGCAACTTGATTACTACATGTAGTAACCACAGTTTCACTTCCACTAGCACAATTTATCAATAATTCCCTCAAATCATTCCAATTAACGTGACTTTCAGACCACACATCATCCAAGACGAGAGAAAACTTCTTCCCATTTGCAGAAGTACACACTTCATTAATTTACTAACGTCAAACTCATCGGGTACACTTACCCACATCCTGAGTTCGAAGTTTGACAATGGAGAAGAAAAGTTCTTTACAAAGTCTACTCCAATCGGGTTCGTTTCCAGCCATGGCAAAGGAAGGACAGGAGAAAGAAGAAGACTAAACCAAAGAGAAGTTTTGAGAAAATCAGGGGTGTCTCTGTGAAATTATGAAATTAGTGAGTGATCGATACCATTTTGAAAAATATGGGGTCCAATTAAAACTTATTCAAACCTTAGAGGAGGTAATTAGATTACCCTTTATATAAAGTAATAGGAGGGACTTCTCTCCCTTTCGCTCTCGCTTTTATTTCGTCTAAGAAAGTGGAGGGAAAAGAAATGCCAGTGGCGAAACCACAATCTTCTGATGCCAGAATCATCGGTCACGTCGACATGGACTGCTTCTACGTTCAGGGTCCTTCCAATTCTCTCTCTCTCTCTCTCTCTCTCTTTGTATTTTAATGGATGTGTAATTGAAAAAATCACTGTTTGTTTTGATTTCGATGAAATTTTGATGAATTCTGGAGAATAAGTTCATTGTTTAGGAGTAAATTCTGGCTTTGGATTCTAACAATGATTATTTACTTTGTTTTTCAGAAAATGCTCTTCTGTTTGTAAACTTATATGTCTTTCTGTTCATATTTCCTTGCATTAGTTATGCTGTAGTTTGTTCTGCTCTGAAAATGTGATATTTTTCAATGCAGTGGAGCAGAGAAAGCAACCGCATTTAAGGGGTTTAACTTCTGCTGTGGTGCAGTACGATGAGTGGAAAGATGGGGCCCTGATAGTTGTTAGCTTTGAGGCCCGGAAATATGGTGTAAAGTGGTAAGTAAGTTTTAGTTACTTTCTGAGGAGCTTTTTATTTGGTGACAAAATACTTTCCAGAAATGCATTAGATTCAAATATCTTGTGCTTGATTTTCAGTTCAATGAGAGGTGTTGAGGCAGAGGAAGTTTGTCCGCAAATTGAGCTAGTCCAAGTCCCTGTAGCCCATGGTGAAGCTGATCTGATTACATATCGGAATGCCTTGTGGGTTTAGAGGTATATGGATTTAAAATGCAATTTTAATGGATCATTAAATTTTATTGAAAAGTTATCTTATGACAACTTTGATCAAATTTGCAGTCCTTTCTTTCAAGGAAGGGTCGTTGTGAGAGAGCTTTTATTGACAAAGTGTATCTCGATCTTACTGATGCTGCAGAAGCTATGCTACCAGAAACTCCTGTAGAGAGCTTGGAAGTGGTAGATGAGGAAGCTCTTAAATCACACATGTTGGGGCTTGCAAGTGGGGTAAAAGATCCTGCTTTTCTATTTTCTGTAATATTTTACAAATGCTTAGGTTATAATGGTTAAATGCATGAGTGAATAAACTCAATGACAGCTTAATACAGATCTTTAGACGTATGGTTTCAATGCAAATATCTCAAAGCATAACAGGAAAAACCACCAAGATGTTAACTTCATTAACCATTCGAACTCTCAAACTCTTGCTCTTAGCATAAGTTATTTAGTGAAAACCCTGCACTCTAGTTGATACTTGTGTACATAGGCTTTAAAACATAAACACCCTTTAGGTTTAATGTAAGTAACAGTTAGACCCAGAGGTTTAAATAAGTGACATTACAAGTCCAAACGTTGTAATCTAGTAATATTTTTATCCAAAAGTAACCATCATTCGCTTAATCTATTAGATGAAGGGTAAAGTTGAAAATGCATTGAAATTTAATCATATATTAAAAATAAGAGTTTATCTTTTTTGTATCATATGATAGCAAAATTAATCATGGGTAACTAAGGGACAAAGTAAACAAATAATTTATCTGATAAAGTGTACCTATCTTTTTTTTTTTTTTTTTTTTAAAGATTTTTATTATATTTCTTAAATTTATAATTTGCATTTTTATAATTAATTTTAGTTATTATATCATTAAAAAAAATTGTAATTAAAATTTCCTTTTTCTAAATGCAATACTTATTATTTTAATTTAGTTGGATAAAAAAATACTTTTTGTGAAATTATTTTTTGGATTTTTTATTCAGATAAAACGGTAATTGTATTGAAAGAATTAAAAAAAAAAAAAAAATACACCCTACAAGTGGGAGCTCCCCTTCAAAGTTCAAACTAAACAAAGGCCCAAGAGCCCAACCAAAAAAAGGCCCAAAGACAAAAGGATACACAATCCTCTACAAGCAAAGCCGAAAAAGAAACCAGGCCTTAGCAAAATAAAAGCAAACTTTAGAAGCTATACAAGCAACCAACTACAAGCCCAAAAAGACCCCTCCACTGCCAGCACATGGCCCAAGAAGAAGGAAAAGCCATCACCAACAGGACCAAAGCAGAGAACTGCACCAATTGGCCCAGAATTTTTTATATTGATTATATCTAATTACTGTTTTGTTTATTTTATTTATAATCAGATAAATCAAAAGGGTCTTTTTATCAGATCTTGTGTGTTAAATAATGGATTAGGTTAACAGTGGTTATTTTTGGATGAAAATATTATAACATTTGGGCTTGTTATGTCACTTGTTTAGACTTCTAAGTCAAATTGGTACTTACACTAAACCTGAAGGGTGTTTATGTTTTAAAGTCTTGTGTATATATATGGAGTGTGGTAGGGATTCACCCTCTTTTTCAATATCCGAAGGTTTAGAATGTTTGACCCATAAAAAGTATCCAATAAAAAATGAGTAAGGCTAGAGTTACAACCTTTTTTTCATAAACATTCTCTCAGAACTATCTATATGACAGTTCGTAATTAGTTAGTTTTCATTGCAAGTTGATCAATTGCGAGCTGTCATGTTAAGTTTATAGAAGAATGTTTGTAAGAAAAAATTGTAAATGTAGGATCTTCCATTAAAAAAAAAAAAATTGTGTAATTTTACGCTAGTTTTAGATTATTTATATTTTATTTTGCCCCAGGGGCTTGGTACTGGGAGTCACTATTGTTGCACATATATGATTCTCTAGCACTAGCTAAAATCCTTTAATTATGTTTTAACACGGATATTATATTTTTTTGCAGAATTTTGGTGAAATCACGCCCTGTTCTGGGAAGTCATTTCCTGGTCCTCAGGCTTTAAAGACAGTTCCTTCTATAAGAATTTCTTTCTTAATCAAATAAATTGTTCTTTCGAATTTTGTACATTGGAATAATTCTAAAGCATCACCGAGGGCAAAGATGACTATCATGAATCAAGATATAAAATAAAATCTCTTTGCACCATCTGATACCGAAAAAAAAAAAAAATTAAAATTAAACTAAAGAAGACAAAACTGGAAACAATTAACATGAAGGAATCTAACCGCAATAAGAATAATTTTCCAGGCTTATAAAAATGAAAATAAGTAGGGAGATTTACACGTACCTCATTATTCACTGATGAATCACCTTAGTAGGAGTAGTTCCAAACACATTACTGTGAATTAAATCTAAAATCCCCTTTGCCCTTGTACCAATTGACTGAAAACACAGTCGATTTTGTTTCCCTTGTAGACAATCCTCACATAACCCAATTCCATGGTACAATTAGGAACTTCTTTAATCATTTGCTTTGAGGACAACGGATAGAGAAATTTTATTCCTTGCAAGTGCACAAATCATTATCGCAGTATAGTGTACAAAAGCAAGGGTCGATTCCACAGAGAATTGTAAGCTATCAATTAATCTAATAATATGCATCAACCAAATAAAGTAACAAAATTAATTTACTAACTAATAATTCTAAAATAACAGTAAAATAACTAAAATTACCAATTAAAAGAAAAACAATAATAAAACGACTGAGAATCAAATGGACAAAGGTCTAGGTATCATTGTAATTATCCTACTTTATGTCAAAAATCTAACTATTGCTTTCTCAATTCACATCCTAGGGTCGATACATGCCAAATTAAGGAATTACTGTAAAACGTTCAAGATTAATCTACTGCTTTCATCACTAAACTAGCTAGGGCATACAGTCTAGTCTAATTACTGAAAACCCATTAAAACTGCAAGTACCTCAAAGTTCACAAACCAGTTTATATCTATCAAAGCATATGTACAAACATAAACCATTCATTCAAAATTAGCTAAGGCGTATAGTCTAACATTGACTCTTACAATCAATTAATGGTTTATTAAAGATGATCACGCAATAATAACAATTAAAGATTGAATAAACAACAACGAATGACACTAAGATTGTATTGAATTGATTAAACAAATAACTTTGATTAAAAACATAGAATATTCAAATTAGGCTACATTGGATACACTAGATAAGAGTTTACCTACTCATAATTACAAGAAAACAATCATTAATCTTACCCATAAGCATTTGGATCATAAATCTAAAACAAAAATCAAAGATTTGTTCCTTTTCTCTCAAAACCCCTTCTCCAAGTTAACCCAAATGTTTACAAAGTTTAGAATACCTAAAATACGAAATAATTGCCCCTTTATAGTTTTTTTATAAGTAAGGACATTTTTATAATAATTGGAAAGGCAAATCAAGGTGGGAACTGAGTATTTTTGCATTATGCTCAAACGGCATCGCGTCGTGGTTTTAGGGCGTCGTGTCACAACTATTGGTGATTTGTGCTTCGACAGAAACCAATCCATGCCGCAGCGCAGGATGAATCATGCCGCAGCACGAGCTGGGTTTCACTGATTTGAGCCACGGCACCATAAATCTACACTGCGGCACAACTAGTGTAAGTTATTTGCCAACTTATGATTCTAGTGTGGTAACACTAGTCATGGTATGAACACCTCACTTTGATTTTAGCACAATCGTTTTAGTCTAAATTTGTAGTGTGATGACTCTTTATCAAAGTGACCACTTTCAATTAAGGTGTTTTTCTGTTATATCGTGTGAGCACCTCAAGGTTTGAGTGGTCACACGTATCTGGTAGATATTTTTGTTTAAACACGTATTACATTTCAATATTCTCGTGAGCTGTTTTTATTATTGTTTTTGGTCCATGTAACGCCCCACTTGAGGTACGTAGTAAATTATGTTGTATGTTTGAATGTTTATTGTTTTGTTCTCATTTGAGCTTGTATGTCGTTATTTTCAGTTGGTTGGTTCTTAGTTGGTTTGATTGAGTGTTTGCCCTGATTTTGGTTGAGTTTTGGCGAAGTTTGGAATTTCTGTCTTCGTCGCGACGACGTTGGCTTTGCAATTGCGGTGTCGGCTCCGTAATTTTTCACCGAAGAGACGGAACTTTCTTCGCCTTGGCGACGGGACAACAGAAAAGTTTACTGAGGTTTCTAGAGAATTCTCCATAAGGGTAAAATGACCTTTCTACCCTTAATTAGCAAGAAGAGTGGGAAGTGAATTGTAAGAAAATTTTGTGGAGAATATGTTAGAGTAGGGGTGTGATTGTAATGATTTAAAGGACAATGATGGAATTTTCAAGGAAGAGCAAGGGCAATATGGGAATGAATGAAGATATTTTGAGCTAAAAAGGGGTTAAGCTTAGTAAACCCTTCATTCTTCATCTTCCACTGCCTCTTCCATTCTCCATTTCTTCTCAACTTTCCCTTTAACCTTTCAAGAATTTTAGAGGGCTTTTTGAGTAGTTTGGGGTAGAAATTAGTCTAAGGCATCCTAAGGTAAGAATCCTTGCTTTAGATGTGAAGTTTTGCATATATTGTATATTGAANAATTTTTTTTTTTTTTTGGGCCAACCAGCCAACCCGCCAGCAACCCGCCGGGTTGCGGGCCTCTTGCAAAGAGGACAAATTAGTAACCCGCGGGCTGTCGGGTTACCATTGTGCAACCCGGCCCACCCGGGGGTTGCTGGCGGGTTGGGCTCAACCCGGTCCGCCATTAAGGCGGGCCGGTTTGAGCCCTCTTTTTTACGGGCCGGGTTAGGGTTGGCCCGCCTAACCCGGCCCATTTTTTCCACCTCTAAAGTAGTTGTGCATACTCAAGGTTTACCGTAATTACAAGTTGATATCCAAAAGGTTTTGAAACAACAAATAGGTACCTTCCGTCATGTTCTATTAGTGATTTCTGTTTATTAATAGTGAAAAGACTAAAATGCCCTTCAAAGTTTCAATTTTAGTTTTTTATAAATTTAAAATTTTCTAAAAAACCCCCTAGGTTTGCTAATTTAATTAAACACCCCCATATATAAAAAGTTTGTTAAATAACAAAAACACCCCCAGTGCCAGATTCCGGCCACCATCGCCGGAATCTGGCCAAAAAACTGCATTACGACACAGACCCGACGGGTCTGTGTCGTAACGCAACTTTCCGGCCAGATTCCGGCGGTGGTAGCCGGAATCTGGCACTGCGGGTGGTGGGGGTATTTTTGTTATTTTACAAAATTTTTATATATTGGGGTATTTAGTTAAATT